TCCTCACAGTAGTACTGGAGGTGAGAGCTATGTCATCTAGAGTAACTATATGGTTAGACAGCAGATTTTTAAGGTTTTCAAGCCCAAATACATTAACTTCGACTTTGTCAGAGTTTAGGATTACGAAATTACAGGTCATCCAAGCCTTTATGTGTTTAAGGCACCCTTGAAGTTTGACAAATTGATCTGACTCATCAGGATTCATAGATAAATATGAGTATCATCTGTGTAGCAATGAAAATTTATGCTGTTTCCTGATAATATTTCCTAAGGAGGGCATGTATAAAGTGAAGAGAACTGGACTTAGCACAGAACCCTGTGGAACGCCGTGACTAAGTTTAGTCTGCATGGATTATTCATCATTAACATGAGCGAATTGGAATCTTTCTGACAAATAAGATTTGAACCAACTTAGTGTGGTTCTGTTAATCACTGTTCTAGTCTCTGTAATAAGACGTTGTGATCAGTGGTCTCAAAAGCAGCACTGAGATCTAAGAGGACAATTATGGAGACAAGTCCTTTATCTGAGGCTAGGAGAAGATCATTGGTGACTTTCACCAATGCATTTTCTGTACTATGATGGACTCAAACAGACTGAAAATCCCCAAACAAATCATTCTTGTGTAGGTGGTCACAGAACTGCTTTTTCAAGTATTTTAGGAATAATCAGGAGATTGGATATTGGTCTATAATTAGCCAGAACACCTGGGTCAAGAGTAGGCTTTTTGAGTAGAGGTTTAATTACAGCAACCTTAGAAGCCTGTGGAACATAACCTGTTAATAGACAGAAGTTAATCAGATTTAATATGGATGTGTCGATTAGGGGTGAAACGTCTTTGACCAGCCTGGTCGGGATGGGGTCCAGGAGACATGATGATTTAGATGAAGCAATTGTTGAGGTAAACTCAGAGATCTATGGGAGAGAAGTAGTCTAAGTATAAATGAGGTCTTACAGATGTTTCTAAAGCCATTGTGCTTAATGATACATCTGTGAGAGTTGGATGTGATTAGTTTTTTCTCTAACTTGTGATGCATTTGTAAAGAAGCTCCATGTTTTCTGTTTATATAGGCCTCTTGGGGGCAGCAGAACAAGCTGTAAACATACCACTCATATAGTATCATCACCTGATTTGTAACCACCAACATTCAGAAATTCTTGAAATGAATCAACACAAACTAACATCTGCCACGAGTCAAATAAAACACTGTATCTGAATTTTATTTTCCTTCAAGTGACACATCTACATAAAAGATATCATGGCCTCAAATGACAAGAACGGTACAGTTTTTTTAAACCCCTTTGTACAGCTATTTTAAGATTTTTGATGAATAACAATTCTTTTACATTCTGTGGGATATGTATAAGACCTAACAGGAGGTCCGTATCCCGTATGGCTCACCCAATAAAGCCTTACCTTAAAAACAAACTTTAACACAACAGTTATGAACGTAAACTGAAATATTTGATCTTGAGAAAGCTTTCCCATAAATGCAAACATCATTTTGGAAATGTTAAAGACTTTAAGATAAATATTCCTGACACTTAATCTTTAATGTTTGACCTAAAATCTCCTGGATTGACTGTTTACCATCCACAAACACACATACAGATCTTCATATGTGCGGTCGAAGTGGCATGGCACATGGGCTCAAATATCTTGTTAAAAAAAAAAAACAAAAAAAAACGGGGGCGGGGGGGGGGGTAAATTCACAAGAGAACAGCAAATCTTAAAGCTCATTCCCCCTTGTTTCTTTGTTGACAATGAGACAATAGAATTACAGTCAGGTGTGTCAAAGCACCAATTAAGTTGGTTCTATGTCCTAGAAAAAGCAGGTGTTAAAGGGTTGGGAGCGCCTGTGAAGAGGAGTGTGGGTGTTTAGACCAGGAGAGCTGAATGGCTGGATACGTCACAGCATAAAAACATGCATGCACCAGCAATCTGAGCGCTGAAGGTCCCCATCTTGGTATGACCACAAGCTGAAAAAATAATATACACTCTATATGAATCAGCCATAGTTGAGATGATTACAGTACTGTTAGGCTTCAATAGACAGCTGTTAGTGTGCCAGTGGTACCTTTTATAGCATCATCCCTGTTGAGGGGAATGACTCAGTCCATTGTGTCTTGGTACAGCATTATCAAAGTACTGTCATTTCACTGAATTCAAATGTTTCCCTTATTTGATATGCACGGTAATCACAATTCCAGAAAAACATCTGCATACTGTATAATCAACAGTTATGGAGACACTAATAAAGCTTAAAAAACAAAGGAAAGCCTTGACAGCACACCCTCTTTTTTTTTTTTAGTGTCTGACAACAAAAGCTCAAGTAAACTGCCATAACTCTATTAAATACATTGAAACTTCCTAAGCGGTAATGAACACGAGTCTATTCTGAGGAAGGTATGGCCAGCAGTCCCTCTCCTTTGTAAGTAAATGTATCTTCTTTTGTCCAAATGGATGACTGGAGAGATAACACATCCTTTTGTGTCAGTTTCTCATGCTGTAATCTCCATGTGTAGTGAGAGGTCACCTTAACTTCAGTGCTTGAGGAGGAAGAGGAAAAGAAGGAGAAGTGCTTCCATCCGCAATGTGGAAGTACTGACATGTCTGTTTGTGGTGACATAAGACGTCCTGTACTGTATATCCCTTTTTTGGTTCAGCGCTGCGAGAACATCCTAGCTGCCTTTACCTGAATACAAGTCATTCCAGCACGGGACAGCCAGCAACAGCAGCTATCATTGCACACAAAACATAAATCCCTTATCTTAACTATTTAATTCACTCATGATAATACAGGAATAAACCAATGTTACTCTGGAAGTGAAAATACTGAACAAAAATTCCACATTTTTGGGGATTTGTTAAAGTTTTGTGAAAAAATGTATAAATAAGACTAAGTCTTCATTATAATTCTGTTTTCAGTATAAAATATCCATTTGTGGTAATTATTCTTATACAATTACTTATTCTTTTCACCTTTCAATACATATACAATTTAACTTCAGTCATATAAACACTGTACTGTATGTAGAACTTCAAGTGCCTGAAATGTCTTGAAAAAACCTCGCAAGATCCACGAGGCTGTTGAAGCTGCAGTATTTGTACTTCAGATTTTCCCTTCGCAAACGCACAGAACAACAACAACAAAAAACTTAACTCCCGGATAACAAGGGCTTCATTTATCTGTATCACCTCAAATTTAT